AATGGAAAGAGGGGATGTGCAGGGTGGAGGGGAAAGGGGGGAAATGGGACAACTGGAATGGCATAATCAATAAAATATATTTTAAAATGTCAAAAGGTTAAATTAAAACATTGAGAAAAAGAAAAATCAAGGTTGTATGTGAGCTTTCTTCAGGTCAGAAATGTGGCTATTTTGACTTCCCAGCTTTAGGGCTGGGACAGCTCCTGGTACAGAGCATGCGCTCAGTAAATACTTGCTCAGTGAACCAGCCAGCCCCTTGGCTGGTGTTGTACGCCAGTCACATTTTATCTTACGGTGTGAGTAAGCTATTCAAACAAGTGAAAAACACTTCTCTGCGAGTCTTTTTTTCTCTATAGCACCCCATATGAGAATGTCTTTTAATCCATCTGTCTGATTTTGTTTTTGTTTTTCTTTCCTGGCAACTCAATTTCCCTCTCCACCTATTTACTTTGTCCCACAGGTGAATGAACCTCTCGTTCCCACCTGTCCATCTGTCCATCAGCCAAGATTAGTCTTCCTGCTCCTCTTAATTGACAGCCTGGCGAACTAGGACAGTGGATCACAATGAGAGTAAAAACATCTACCAGGTTTCTTAAGAAGGGTGAGAAACAAAGAAATCTGACCACAATGGGGAAACCACATCCACAGTATCTTTCCTCGTCCTTCACCAAAACTGTGTTTTCCTGTCTTTCCTACTTCATATGGGAAGACTAACTACAGAGGGATTACAGTAGGGAAAAAAATGGATAAATTGTGTGCTTGAATCAGAAAAACAAATGTCTCCGTACTATATTAGGTTCTGAAAAGTTCTAAGACCAAAAATTATGACACTAAAAGTGAGGCAGAGTGATTTGCAGGAAACAAACTGTGCTTTTCATAGGGCTAATTCTAACACAGCCCCGGAGTACGGTCAATGTGCCGAGAAGAAAAGCAGGTTAAAGTTAAGTGTTTGGGTCCCTGTGTGTCTAGCATCTACTTTCGCCTCTATGCACTGCTCTGACAGTGTCACCAGGAGAGACAGCCCAGGTGGACACACTGTCCACACCCAGCTACCCGCAGATCACCTAACCAGATCCTGCAGATTCACAGGGCAGAGATGGAGAAGAGAAAAATCTGTTTGCCTTAAAAAGAGATCTTCCAAGTTCATTAACGCTCCTGTAATGCTCACATAACCGTATTCAAATATAAAATCCTACAACTGCAAAGGACACGCTGAGAAAGGAAAGCATCTTTCCCAAATGATCTCTGCTCACTTCATCCCCACCCGATCCCCCTAAATGGGGAAGAAAATGGTTGTTAAAGGTGGATGCTTTCTACGTTTGGCAAATACAGAACACGAGGCTTTGCTAAGATGATAATGTTTTTAGCAGGTCATAACACATTTAAAGACATGTGTCAAGTTTACCTGAAAGTGGATGTTTGTTTCTGCTTTTCCACTGGTGCATTAGTAGACTTTAATTTAAGAAGTGCCACAGTAGGAAGAAAGACTAGAACGCAGGGACAGATAAAGCCCGTTAGGAATCGCCAGATCATGGAGAACCCATGGTACTTTCGAGGCTTCAACTCTATACCTAAATTGTGCTGAATTTCAGATTCTGCTTCTATGTAAAAAAGCAAAAAAAAAAAAAAAAAAGCAAACCCCCAAACCCAACAACAACAAAGATTTCCAGACCTTGGGTGTTTAAAGGGCCTTCACACAGTAAATCAACCCGCTGCTGTCTTGTTTTCTCCGCAGCCAGACTGAAATAATACGGCACCAGCAGAGGTGTGAATTACCCCCATTCATCTTAATGGAGTGTTAACTTCAAAGGCTTGTTTTAACCATTTAAATGCAAAGCTCATGAGTAAACATTCCGGTAAAAAAATACAATTTAAACATTCACCCTCAACATATGAAAGTAATTTATATTCTCAGCACTTCGTCTTTTAATTTAGCAAACAAGTCTCCAAGTGTTGGAAAAGTATGTATTTTGTGCTTACCGTAGTTTTATTTTAAATAGTTATTACCCAATAAATTATGAACATTAAGCCCATAATGAGAAGGCCTATATTTCCCAGGAAAAGTGCTGAGCGGTACTCAGACGAGGCTTCTCGGTGAGCCTGGTGAGTGGCAGCGCTGTTAGCAGCCGTCTTACTAGCTTCTTCCCAACTCAGAGGGTAAGGTGTGACTCTAACCGGGCAACGAGGTGAGGCGGAATACCGAGGTAAAATAAAATTAAATGCCTCCACAAATAATTTCTCTTGATATTAACTGAATGTCATGCAGAGTGTCCAACAGGTTCTGGTCCCGCCGCCAAACCTCCCCTGACACTATCCTGTGAGCAGGTGACAAATGTATTCATTGATGCCCAGCTGTCGTCACACTCAACATTTGCCCCAGGGGGCATCCTCGCATCTGTTGCAGATTTAGGGTTCTTCTGGTATTACTGCAGTTAGATTTTTTTTAAAGCAGCTCAACACCTATCTGTATTTGGACCTACCATTTCATGAGCAGAAAAAGGGTACAAGAATGAGCTTGGTCAGCCAGACTGAGGACTCTGGCTGACCTGGAGCCACATGGGACGCCGTGCCTGGTGGTGCCCCTGGGACCCTGCTAAGCGCCCAGTTTCAGGAGGGCGTTAGCAGGAGACTACAGCAGGAGACTACAGCTGTGGGGAAGCCCTAAAAAGAGTGCACTTGGGGCTAGTTCCCCTGTGAGTAAAGGCAAGAGAAGGATTCGAAACACATTCATCGTGCAAGATGGAAGATGAAATTCCATGTCCCTGACGGAGAGCAAATTCATTTTACTACTCAGATAAAGGGATGGGAGAAAGGGGATAAATATCAAATCTATGAAGAGAACCTGTTTCAGACTCTCCCTAATTTATACCAGGTCACTTAATCCTCTCAACACAATCCTGTGTAATAGGTATTAACTCCATCTAATACCTATGTGAAAGCGGGGGCTTGGAGAGGTAAAGTGGTTTGCCTAAATTTACTGAGATTTGAATCTAAGTCTTTCCAACCCCCAAACTTGGACTTTTTCCATTCCTCTGTGCTGATCTCAGGTTGCCAAAGAAGTATCTTAATCAGAAGAGAAGCTCAGTTGTCCATTTTTCAGCTCATTTCCTAAGTGGGAAGCAAGGGGGCACCTGTGAAGGTGCGGATTTCCATACATGCAAATTGGCACTTTGCATGCAATTCCCCACTTTACATGTGCACAGGGATGGGGTTACCTTTCTACTGATACACCCTGACTTTGGTAGGCTGCTAAAGTGCCCTTTATATATAATACTCATGGGGAGAGACCCAGTTTCTGGTTTCCAACCAGAAATAAGCCACATCATTGGGAAGACTGGAATGATTTATAGAATCTCCAAACAAAATATAATATAATACATCGATATTCATCTTTGTGCCGAGCAGAAAGTCACATGTTTCAGGGACAAACCAGAAAGCTCAGAGAACTTTCAAACCCACAGCCAATCATCTCAGATCTATCTTCTAATGAACAACAGAGAAAAATCACAGAAGTTTCTTAGGTAGGATTTGGAGTCGGGGCAAAATACCAAGTGGAATAATCCCACAGTTTTGTTATTAGTGATTGATGTTGACAACATTAGCCCACAAGCTAAGATTCAATTTTGTACATAAGCTTAACATACTGATTTCTTTAAAACACAAACAAAAGATTGACTCAATATACTTAATGACATTAAAAACTTCTCCCCTGTGAAAGACACTGTTAAGAGAATGAAAAGAGAAACATACTGGGAGAAAATCTTTGCAAAACACACATCTGATAAAGGGCTGCTAGCTAAAATATACAAAGAAGCATTAAAACTCAAAAAGGAAAAAACAACACAAAATAAAAAGCAGGCAAAAGATCTGAACCTCACCAGAGAGAATACACAGACGGCCAATAAGCATATGAAAAGATGCTCAACATCCTATGCCATTAGGGCAATGCAAATTAAAACACCACAGTGGGATACAGCTACACACTCATTACAATGGCAAAAAATAAAAACACTGACACCACCAAACACTGGTGAGACTGGAACAACAGCTCCCGTTCACAGCTACTGGGACTGCAAACTGTTAGGCCAGTTTGGGAGGTGGTTTGGCAGTTTCTTACAGGACTAAACATATTCTTACCATAGGATGCAGCAGTGGGGCTCTTTGGTATTAACTCAAATAAGCTGGGAACTATGTCCACACAAAACTTGCACAGTTTTATTCAAAACTGCCAAAATCTGGAAGCAACCCAGAGACTCTTCAACAGGTGAATGGAAAAACAAACAGTGGTACATCCATACAATGGAATATATTATTCAGTGATTAAAAAAATGAGCTATCGAGCCATGAAACATGTAGGAAACTTAATTGCATTTTACTCAGTGCAAGAAGCCAGTCCGAAAGGTTAAGATACTATATAATTCTAACTATATGACCTGCTGGAAAAGGCTCATAGCATTCATAAAGAGTGTAAAAAGATTAGTGAGTGCCAGTGCTTGCATCAAGGGTGAACCCTAATGTAAACTATTAACTTTAGTTAATAATAATGTATCAATATTGACTCAACAAATATAATAAATACACCACACATTCAAGATGTTAATAATATGGGAAACTGGGAGTTTGGGGGCGGGTAAAGGAATATATGGGAACTCTGTACTTTCTACAAAAATTAAAACTACACTAAAAGATAAAGTCTATTAATTTAAAAAAGCAAAAGACCCACAAATAAATAAACAACAGATTGACCGAATATATTGCAGAGCATTTTGAGTTTGTTTCTTATTTTGACTGAAAGTGCTGTGGGCCCACTTTCCCCCGCCCACTCCCATTTTGTTCCACTTTTCCATTAATAATGTTTACAAAAGATGCTAACCCTGTAGAGAGGATTCGTCCATGATGCCTTCCAGAATTATACCTTTCTGCATATGGAGGTAAATTATTCTTCCTAAGAAATGAAAACATTTCCTTTCATTTATTATGTTTTTAAAGTTTGTATTTATTTTTAGAGAGAGGGAAAGGGAGGGGGAGAGAGGGAGAGAAACATCAACGTGTGGTTGCCTCACACACCCCCTACTGGGGACCCGGCCCACAAACCAGGCATGTGCCATGACTGGGAATCGAACCAGCGACCCTTCAGTTCACAGGCCAGTCCTCAATCCACTGAACCACACCAGCCAGGGCTCTTTCATTTATTATTAATCCAATTAAAAATGATGACTGCTAAACTAAAATTCCCAACCAAAACTCCAAGGATGAGCAAAACAAAAGCCTGTGGAAATAAGGGGGGAAAAAAAAGAACAATTAGAGTATTTAAACAAAAAATCTCTACTCTCTTCAATAATGTATGTTACAGCTCAAAATACATGATGACTTTCTTGATGTAGATAAAATAACTATAAAATGACAAATTATTTCTTAAAATAGGATTCTTAAAAGAAACAAACAAAAACCAACCTACCCCAAGCTTTTTCCATGACAGAAAATCCTCTCTGCTAAGTTTAAGATAAAACAGTCCAGGGAATACAAAAGTCAAACACGCTGATGTACTGGAACCTTTAATGGAAGGAAAAGAGAGGTTATTGCCAGGTTCCCATGTCAGGCTGGATAACAATTTTATCCATTTTATTATGGGCATTTTTTGAAATAGAAAACTTACCAACTACACCAAATACATTCCTAATATCAGGAACATATATTGCACATAAAACAATGATAATATTGAGTGCTAGAGTAGTCAAAAAATGGTGAATCCATGAGAAGGGAAAACTGGAGAAAAACACCATCATGAAAGCTTTCCTTGCCTGTATAACATGAAAGAGAAACAGATTTAAATAAAGAGAAAGGGTCGAAGCCAAAATGCTAACTTAGGGAAACAAATGATCAGTACCGTGACCATATTTTTGTTCACTAAACCAACTAGATTTCAAAAATAGAACATAAACTATTATCATTAAGTGTTTATTACTCATAAATTAAGAAACATATATTTCTGTGCAAGCTTCATAAATGTTATTTTGCTTTAATTCTTGAAAACATTTTCATATGCAATTTCTTTAGGTTGCCTAATTTTCAAAATTATGGACAATAATGCCATGTGATGAAATCTCAGAGAATCATTTTCATTAAATTCAACAGAAGAACAAAAGGTTTGAAATGAGAAAAGAAATCATGCCATGGAAAAGAAACACCGTTTACTGTTTTATTTTAGACTCTGTTTCACAGCATGCGAATATGAAAACCAGTTCACGACACTCCCCACTGGCAAGGCGGACAGCGGGACAGCAGGCGGCCTCATCCCACAACTGTTTACGCAGCCCCTGCTGCACTCCTGGCCCACAGTGTGCGCTGGGAGGGGCAAGCAGTCCCCAAGGCCCAGTTCTTCAGGACTCACTGTTTAGGAATTCAAGACATCCCTGCAGCAGCATTTATACCCAAAGCCTTTGTTCCCATTTTCTCAGAAATTCTTAAGATTCTTATGTGTGGCAACTAAAATGCAGAATGAAGATCTGTTCTGCCCCTTATAATTCTAGAGCAAATAAAATAGCTTGGCTGAGATTAAACTAGAATGTCCATGTGAAAATAAATTTATGATAAACCAGAAGGAGCTTATTTTTGCCAACTTGACTTTTTTCCTCTTCATGCACATTCTTCCGAAAACAGAAAACAGAATCAAAGGGGAGAAAACCCCAGAACCTTAGAACTATAGTCTCTAAATTGGAAACAATGCTGTGGGAAAGCGTAAACCTAAACTAAAGCTCAAGAAGCACAAATTAGCTTAGTGGTTCACTGTTATTTTTGTGCTTTCATGGGGCATGCGCAAGTATGAGGTCTTTGATCAATTACTTGACAAATGAATAAGATATACAAGACTAGATGTGATTCAAACATTCCAGTCTGCAAAGAATTAGTGTTGCCACATTAGGGAGCTGCTACATCAAGCAACAAAACCTTTACGGGTACTTACAGGGAAGTGGATTAGAGGGACTGTCAGAAGCACAGCACACAGAAAGCATAACCTCACAGTCCTGACAACAGCATCATGTGGCAAGTGTTTACTGTAATCTTGGAGTACATCGGACGCCACTTTGTCTGTAAATTTTAAAAAGTAACAGTAAGGATCACATTATAAACTACTAAGATGTCAGTAACAGCAAAAATTATTTTCCTTTGCACAAAGGGATCTTAACAGATTTTGGATTTACAGTCCCCGGTTGATCTCTGGCCTGTTTTCTACTATGAAATACAGAGACATGAGCTAACTATCTTCTTAAAACCTATCATCTCTTCTTTTAATGAAACTAGAAATTGGCAGAGGCAGAACCTAAGTTATGTCCAGAAAAAGTCCAGCCATTTTTAATATAATAAGAGTGATTTGTGTGGCATCAGTGTAACCTGGCAGCCAAGGAGAGTGGACTGGAATGTGCATATGTGAACAATGATGACTTCACTGTACCAGTCAGCAGGGGCAATAGATACTGTTGAATGAGCATGGGTACTGTGTGGTTGTCACAGTCAAAATGAGTGAACAGAGCAACAAATCTGCATCAAGTTTTGTGTTAAGTTTGCATATTCCTCTACAGAAACTATTCAGATGATTCAGAAGGCTTTTGGGGACGATGCAATGAGTGGAGCACAAATAAAAGAGTGGCACATATGCTTCAAAGATGGTCGAGAACCTGTTGAAAGTGATCCACATTCTGGAAGGTCTGCAACAAGCAGAACACCTGACAAATGTTGAACAAGTAAGGCCTGCAATCAACAAAGACTGGCAACGGACTGTGAGAACTAGAAGCTGATCTGGGGATTCCAAAAACTACTGTGCCAAGATTTTGACATAGGATCGTGGCATGAAATGTGTCATGGCAAAATTCATTCTGCAGCTTCTGCTACTGGACAAGAAGTAACACTGTGCTACAGTTGCTAATGACTTGATCGAAACTGCTACCATTTCCTCAACAAGGCCACAACTAGAGTTGATCTGTGGGTCTACGGCTATGACCTGGAAATGAAGGGCCAGTCGTCCCAATGGAAGTCGCCTGGTTCTCCATGCCCGAAGAAGGTGCGGCAAAGTTGCAGCAAGATCAAGACTATGTTAACTGTGTTTTCTGATTGGGAAGATGTTGTCCATCATGAGTACGCACCTCCAGGACAAACAATTAAGAAGGAGTACTACGTCAATGTTTTTCATCAGCTGAGAAATGCAATGTGACAAAAACGGCTGCAGCTATGGGTAACTGGTGACCGGCAGCTTCATCACAGTAACACGCCCGCTCACATATCATGTCTCATGCAGAGTTTTTTTGCAAAACGTCAAATCATCCAGGTGACTCAGCCCCCATACACCCCATACAACTTCTGGCTATTCCCCAAACTAAAATCACCTCTGAAAGGAAAGAGATTTCAGACTATCAATGAGATTCAAGAAAATACAATAGGGCAACTGATGGTGATTCCAACAAAGGATTATGCGGTGTTTTGAACAGTGGGTGAACTGTGTGAGGTCCCAGGGTGCCTACTTTCAAGGGGACTGAGGCATCATTGTCCTATGTACAATGTTTCTGTGTCTTCTTCAATAAATGTCTCTCATTTTCATAGTACATGGCCGGATACTTTCTGGACAGACCTGTATTTTAGAACTTGTCCACAATCTGAAGGTTTTGAACATTTATGTTGTTTGCTTTGTAGAGTGTTTTCTACTACTGATTTTGGTCCATATGATAACAACATAAATTGGTAGCTAGGCTAAAAAATAAAACTGGCCCAAGACACATAACTCATAGGGAAAGAGCCAGCACAGCTGTACACCCAGTTTTGTGGGGGGGGGGGGGGGGGCAGGTTGCCAAAGCCAATATTTTTTCCTCAATACTACAATGTTTTCTAGAGTCTCATAGAGTTGTGCACGTGTTAGCCGCTTCATCAACATCACATCTGTGGACTCATCTTACATACAAGTTTTAGGGACCTGGCTTATTTAGCAAGGCACTGTGGTAGTCAGTGACAGAGTCTGTACATGTGCCTTGCTCCAAAGTGTTCTTCCCTTCCGATAACATCTTCCACACCCCAAGCCAAACAGGAGTATTCAAGTGAGGGTACTCAAGAACAATGCAGATCACTGCCTTGCAGGGAAAGATAAATTTGTACTTAAAAGAGAATGGTGCTTTTATAATTTGAACATATATATTTTGGGAAAGATACTTTGAAGGAAATAAGAAAATCAAATACACCTCTATTTTTCAGGACCTTAAAATTTAAATGGCAGTTAAGATTAACACACACACATATAATAGTGTATAAACACAGATACACACATAAGCGGCAGAAGAAGGAATAAACAGATAGCCACGGTGGTTCTGAACAGAGAAAGTCAAAAAGGAAATCCGAGAAGGCTTGTGGGGAGTCATCATAACACAGTGGGTGGCAGATGGTAGAAGGGCTTGCATTCTGGAACCACACGGACTAATGTTTTAATAGCAAATTAACTTTTCAGAGTCTCTTGGTTCTGATGTCTTTAAAATGGAGACAATGATAGGTTGACCTGCAGAGTTACTGAGAGCATTCCGTGACTTAACACGTGTGTGCTGACACTCAAAGACATGGGGGAAGAGATTCCAGGAGCAAGGACCAGCATGAGCAGAAGCCCTGAAGCAGCAGGGGGAATACGCGTCTGAGAAAATGGGTCTCCCAGAGGTAGCACAATGGCTGAAGGAGGTGAGCTGCAGTGCAAAGAGCAGTGGGTGGCAAGGCTGGACCTGCATTTAAGACCCAGCAACGGAACTCAATCCAGTGGGCCACAGAGGTGCAGTGACTCATGAAGAATAGTCTATTGTGGTCTGAATTAATCAGGAGGACAGACCAGGAGAAAAAGAGACCCAAAACAGGGACAGCAGAAAGTAGTGGTCACAGCACTGAGAGGCAATGAGCACCTGAACTGGACTAGTGATGGTAAAAATAGAGAAACTAATTGTCTAAATTACCAAAAACATACTTCACACAGAGTGGGACTATGGACTAAGTAAGAAATTAAAGTTGAATTCCATTCCCAAATCTGTGAGACATTTGTGAGTTTTGGAGAAATATGGCAAACTATTTTGTTTCCATTTTCTGAATCATAAAAGTGAGCTATTAACACGTATTGCTTAACAACCTCATAGACTTTTTAAATGGTCTGGTTATTATGCAACATTTGTTCATTGGCCTGGCTCACCAGAGGAACACTTTATTTTCCTTCACCTTAAAAAGCTTTAACATCTGTAATCAGAGCCCATAGTAGTAATCTAGGTACACACTTACAGGTCTCTTTAATCTGACAAACCTTAAGTATTAACTAAGCCTTGGGAGCACTGGTTGGAAGAATCCCAAGCAGCTCCAGAAGCCTGAAGAACTAAATTTACTACATATTCAAAATATCTGTTACATGTCCACTTTCTACTTTCCCAGGATTAAAACCTTCCTTCTGAGCCAGTCAGTTCTGTGTTCTTTGCTGAGCCCTACAATATGTAAGGAATGGAGTACCACACACTGCACTGGATTCAGACGAATCTCATTAAGGACCTGATGGTGATCTCTGCAAGTTGTGCATGCTACTGAAGTCAGGAGGCTGTCCTGTTTAACATGCATTGTCAACTGGGTACGAAGTTTATAGAGATGACCATGGAACAGCGGAAAAACCACTGGATCAGTATTTGGGAGACCTGCCACTAATTGTGTGACAGGTCACCTGACCTCTTCGGGCTTTAGTTGTTCATCTATTCATTGAGTTGAAGCCTTAACTTGTGATGAGCCCTTTTGATTAAGTATTCAGTATCAATTAGCAATTTATTTCCATAAGAGTGAGAGTTACTGTTGTCCAGATAGAAATGTCCCATAAAATATTTTCCCTGGTTAGTATTAACATATCAAAAACAAAACACTGTGAACAACGAATCAGTATCTGAATCTTCTGTCTCTGGAAAACTTTTCTTTCTTTCTTTCTTTCTTTCTTTCTTTCTTTCTTTCTTTCTTTCTCTCTTTCTTTTCTTCTTTTCCTTCTCTCTCTCTCCTTCCTTCCTTCCTTCCTTCCTTCCTTCCTTCCTTCCTTCCTTCCTTCCTTCCTTCCTTCCTTCCTTCCTTCCTTCCTTCCTTTTTCTTTCCATCACCTACCTCTATCTATGTACCTACCTACCAACCTACCTATCAGGGATTTTTCTTACATGTGTATTTCTCCATTACGTAAAATGTGGACATGCTGAAGAATCTGCATTGACAGAGAAGGATTAAGTTAGAGACAACATACACTTGATAATCAGGAAAATCCCTGTGTAGTAAATAATATTTAGCCTCTGTGTTCAAGCATCAGTACATAGATGGATGGATGGATAAATAATACACACTGAGATTAGATAGATAGATAGATAGATAGATAGATAGATAGATAGATAGATATAGAGAGATAGGTAGATCAATCAATATTAAGTGAGCCAAGTTTTTCCAAAAGTCCAATTTGACAAAAAAACAGAGTAAAGGAAATCTGGGTTCTGTAACATATTTTCCTGAGGAGGAAGCACAGTGATAAAGGCACTGACTTTGGAGATAGTCAGAATCAGATTCAAATCCCAACTTATTATTCATTAGCTGGCCAAATTACTCAACCTATATGAACCTTTCCCTTACATAATAAATGTTAGCTCAGTAAAAGTATTAACATCCATCCTTTCACGTCCCTTCCAATTTAACACAGCTCCTAAGCATCTTGTGGTAATTTATGTGCCCTATTTCTCAGCTATCCTGGAGATTGGTGGGCCTTTTGAGGTTTGTTCTAGATAGCTCTATTTATCCAGAGGGAAAAGAAGGAGGTCCATTTTTTGGACCTTTTTTTAATGCTGAAGACCCCTAAATATAATAGTGTTTGTGCTAGGTAACCATTTTAATTTAGAAAAATATACGACTATTCTGCTATACCAAGTTTCAGCTGAATCCTGACAGTGACCCTGCTACCCTAACTTACTGATATGAAAAAGTCGTATGAGCGCAAGTCTGTATGAAGACTAACCAGTGCAGCAATCAAAAATAGAGCTTATGCATTTCAAGAATTTTGTTCCGTTAGCAATGCTCAAAAAGCTTAACTATCTGTTTTAACTTTCTTAGTGGTATATCCAGCAGGGTCCCATGTCCATGCTGGAAACAGCACTCTTCCTGATGGTGTGCACAGACCGCTGCCACTCTGATCCTGCATCAGCGCAAAAGTGCAAGAGCACACTTGGATTAATGAATGAGCTATACAATTGTTGAAAATACAGAGAGAGAGCAAGAAAAAGACTATATAGAACAATTACAATTTTCTCACACACTGGAAACTCCAAGACAAAACAACATGTACTGAACAGTTACCATATTTAAATTAAATTTCATAAAGATAGTAAGAAGTACAATACTAAAACACGGAGACCTGTAATTATACAATAATTACAATCGTAATGATAGTAACAATGACACACCATGAGCAGTAGCTCTCCCTTTTGGAAAACTGCTATGTGCCAGATACTGCCACAGGCATTTTAGATATAACCCGTTACCTCCTTGGTACGACTCAACGCAACTATCTCTGTGTTACAGACTAGGGGATGAAGATACTGCAAGATGAAGTATCCTGTTCAGCCACGTTTGTTGGATTTCAAAATCTACTCTTAGGTAGCTATGCAAGCAGTTGTTTTCCAAAGACTTGTCAGATGCGGACATGCTCTGAGGGATAAGCAAAGCCCCATTTCACGTTAGCATGGTTGGCTAAAACCTGAAACAAGCACAAGGCTACCAACTGTGAAATCAGAGTCATAAGAGCGAACTACCCCCAAAGTCGTAACAGCTATTTACTTGGAGAGTTGTTATAAAAGCATTCACAAACTGCAAAGTGTACTGAAGAGTTTGACAAATTGAGGGTAACTTGTTATAATGTGTTTATTTGCAAAATAAACAAGTGTGTTTGCAAATTAAATAAGAGAGCTTACAGTTTTTTTTAATCTTGTTCTAGACTTTTAAGTTTTACCTTTCTTTGAGGTTCTTATGAGGAAAAAATAGCATATCAGGCAGACAATTTTTAAAAAATAAATATAAATATTTACTTTCATGTTACGAATTTAAAAGAATGCACGCTGCCGCATCGTGTGAATGGGGTCTGAGGGCAGAGACCCCCAACACGTACGCGAGCGCAAAGCTGTAGTTTGGTTAAAGCCCGTTCCTTCACAACCTGTTCTTCTGCCTTTAGCATTCTCTCAAACTGCTGAACTAGAGTCTAATATATCAAAAATGAGATTTATTCTGAAATATTTATAAAAAATAAAATCATTATTGCACATTTTTTCTTGTATAAAGACATCAATGTCCCTAAGCCTGAGGCTTTATTCAGATGTTTAGGAAAATTTTCATAAAAAGTTATTAATCTTGCCCTGGCTGGTGTAGCTCAGTGGATTGAGTGCAGGCCTGTGAACCAAAGGATCGCGGTTCGATTCCCAGTCAGGGCACATTCCTGGGCTGCAGGCCAGTTCCCAGCAGCGGACACACAAGAGGCAATCATACATTGATGTTTCTCTCCCTTCCTCCTTCCCTTCCCCTCTAAAGATAAATAAATAAAATCTTAAAAAAATAAAAATAAAAAGTTGTACACCTGAAATTTATATAATGTTATTAGCTATTGTTACCTCAATAAATTTAACTTTTAAAAAAGTTATTAATCTTGAGCTCAATCTACCTTTATAAGAGAAAGAAAATCAATTCTTTGAGGCCCACAGAGCCACCACGGTGGTGTAGTGGATTCTGGCAGCCTGAGCAAATTAACTCGCTAAGAACAGGCAGAAACAAAGTCCATATCCAAGTGTGAGATCGACTACAGAACAATTTCTTTTGACACCTGTAATTAAATAATGTACTTACCATAAAAAGTGAGGTACCCAAAGAGTGCTGAGATAAAATAAATGAGAAAAGTTAAAGCAATTGCTGTGTTGGTTACATTCTGCATTCTTTTCTTTGAAGGGCTAAAAGACAAAAATGGCAAAAGTAGAGTCAGTGATCTGGCTTATATCTACAGAAACAAATATCTCCCAAGCTAGTCGGAAGAGTTCTTTAATCATTCAAGACCTAGTCCATTAATAATTATACACTAGAATTCCCGATTTGAAATGACTGCACAAAGATTACGCTTTGAGGAAACATTCTCAATTTGCACAGAAATCTCAGTTGTTTCATTTTGTTTTAAACTAACACTTAGAATCCAGTGATGGGAGGGAAGAATTCACAAAGGAGAAGCATGTCATTCAATCTGAAAGTCCTAGAAGTAAAAAGACATCCTTAATACATTTCAAATATTCCAGGATTCGGTGGTACCTTTGAAGCTCACAGTATATGGGCAATATCAAGGTATGGCAGAGAAATGAAAGTGCCATGGTTGGTAGGGCATAAACACTCTGAAAAAAATTTAGAAGAGAAGATTATTAAATGCCACTCTGTTAAAACCACTACTTCATGTGACAATAAGCTCAGTTCTTCAAAAGAAACCCAATCAATTTGGTTAAACTTATTTAATTTTTCATAAATCATCTCTATAAAATAAGGTTGTTTTTTTTTTAAAGAAACACCATTATGGCCACCAGCCAATCTTCACTTGATAGCAGGATGGCCTATACCGGCTCAGTGTTTCTTGCTGGCTTCTATACCATGTTGCTTTCACCACCATCACTGTTGCTTGTACATTATTTGGGTAAGGTAAAAAAATGTAGGTGTGATAAATAATATTTAGGTAAGAGTCAAAATAATAACACTTTAGAAATCATCTCTTTTAAAATCTCAGTCTTTCCTAATGTATGCATTAGGAAACTTAAATACATCTTACTACTCTAAGCGGAAATAATCATTAATGCTTTTGAACCTGCTTTCTTTTCGCCAACTCAATCCAAGGTAGTATCACCAATTTAATCCAAGGGAACACTGATAATATCAATCACATCTTAGCATCTTTGCCTAGGTTCCCTTTCAACGGGAATGAACATGATTTATTCTAGACTTCTAATACTTAGAGATCCACTGGAACACACCGACAAAACTTCTTTAAAAATTAGAATATTTAAGAGCCAGATTTACAAAGCAAACAAAACTTACCATCTAAATGAACATACTGTCTCTACAAAATGCATGGTGATGATTTACTTTCTTTTTCCTACTGTTAAAAAAAATTCCCCTTACTAACTTCAGGCTCTTCAGCAAAAGAAGTTCCAGATGACTGAAGACCTACCTTGGGACGTAATGCCTCCTCAAATATTTGAAGCGTACTGGGAGGAAGGAAAGCTGTAGTGTTTCCTGAGGCTGGATTAGGGGAATGAGACTTTAATTCACAAATTCTCTTTCATATATTGCTCAATTTCCTGGCTTGTCAATTACCCTACCTAGATCTTTAAGGCACATGGAGGCCTTTACCATATAAAAGATGTGGTGAACCTTCCTTGTGGGGCCAGAGAGATATTTCTCATGAAAAAAAACTGTGGATAAAAAGGACTATTCTGCATGGGGTAGTTACTGCACTAACGTGCTACACTGATAGAGCTGTGCATGAGCGGAGGGGATTCTAGTCTCTGGAATGCTGCGTTTCAGCAGAATCCCCAAGTGCAGATGAACAGACTTGCAGCAATGGGGATGACGTGTAGCTCTTCCCAATGGTAGACATCACCTGCACCACAGTTCCTGTCCTCTCTGTTGATGTGCAGGGGCTCTTGCAGGCATTCTCAGTGTCCTAGGGTTCTCAGAGAAGGCTAGGGGGCTTGTTCCTCTCGTCTCCCTGTTTAAGGCATCATAAATTTCAACTTCGGAATGTCTGCCAGAAGACATACTGGCAGTGCTCTGCTGCTAGTCCAATGATGAGGCTGTTTAGCTACAGACCAAGGTTCTACTCACAAGGGAGGAGTTTTTGATATAATTGGCTATTTAGCTTTACAAGTCCAGAGGGCAACAGGAAGTCTGTATCCACAGAGGACCTTATTGGCCAGACCAGACATTTAGTAAATCTGTTCTTTTAGGCAGTTGCCCATTTAAAACAGGCTCCATTTAAAGGCATGCCAAAAAAAAAGGTGGCTGTTTCATAATAGGCCACCCTGTGTTAAATAATATTATTCTTCTGGTAGGCAACCCTATACTTAGCACTTTCATGAAAATTAATTAGTTACAGGTACAAAGACCTAAGAGACCCTGTTACACAAATCTCTTAAAACTTGAAATGTGAAAAATCAACCAAAAGTATCTGTTAATAACTTACACACCTCTTTGGAGAAATGAAAGAGCTTTGGTTTACAATCATCTGTAGCATTTGAAATCTGTTTAAGAGGATTGAGGGGAAAAGGAGAAACCAACAGTCATTAAAAGTCAGAATACATCAACAAACATGATGAATTTATGATTACTAGGCTTTCAAATAAAACTATTTCAAAACAAAGTTCCAAAATGCAATATAGTCATTACTTTTCCACATATTGGGGAAAGACATTAGTCTGATTTTTTCCTTTTTAGCTTAAAATTTAAAAAAGGAATTGAAAAGAAAATATAAACTATTACCTGAAAGTATTGCTCCATACAATTCAATGTCAGAGGACAAGGAATGGACCACTTTTTAATTACTATCTGTAAGAATAAGTAAAATCAACACTCAGATTATTTCTCATAGAATTCATGACAAGAATTGAGTTCAAGTAGGTCAGCATTATTTCAGCTGAGCTAGCACCATGCCCAAGCACATACTGGGTGATGGAAGAGATTCTCTACTCCCATGCTTTGCTTGTTAGGCTGCAGTCACTGTAGTGGGCGTGAGGCCGAGGGCTGCATGTCCGTTTAGCCGGGATCTCCCCCATTCAAGACTGTAGGCTTTCAAAGCTCCAGTGGCATCAAGGTCTTAAAAAAAGTGCAACTCAAGCCCTGGCTGGTGTAGCTCAGTGGATTGAGTGCGGGCCTGTGAACCACACAATCACAGTTCGATTCCCGGTCAGGGCACATGCCTGAGTTGCAGGCCAGTTCCCAGCAGGGGACACATGAGAGGCAACCATACATTGATATTTCTCTCCTTCTCTCCTTTCCTTCCTCTCTAAAAATAAATAAATAAAATCTTTAAAAAAAAAGTGCAACTCAAAACAAGAACACAATGTTTTTAGTGACAATGGTACAAGAATATGGTTATTTGTGGATCTGGCATTAGCAGCAGATAGAGAAATATTAGTAGCTGTCTTGGAAATGGCCACAGGCAGAGGTAAATAGAGACTTTCTGCAAAGGGTGAGCTCAGAGATCTCTGACACTAACTCCTGTCCCTTTTTCAGACTTACATTACTTTCAGTGAGTGTGGATAAAATGAGCTAAGGAGGAAACTCCAGCTGTTAAAAATAAATTAAAAAAACATTAAAAACCCAGAGGGATGTCATTTCCCAGAAATAATCAATAAAAATGTTTCAGGACTTTACTCTTAATTGTGGCCACCCTGTTCCTAGACCTATAGCTGTGGTTGTGTCAACACTGCCATTGTTGCCCTTGTTTCTGGGCACATAATGACTCTGTAAATATTTGCTCCAGGCTGCAACCCAGCACACAGAGGGGCAAGGAGAATAAAGGGGGCATTTGTCCTCTGCAGGAGACCAGTGAGTAAATACTGTTCCTATTCCTGTTCCTATTTGGTATTTACCTAGCTTTGGATTTAAACTCATTCAACTAAGATTTTAATAGTAATAAAACAAATCTAAGGAAAACGTACATTTTTAGGATTAAGTTAATGAATGAACTAAAGAATGACTCTTAATTAAAACCCCTTCCCAAGGGAAAGGGGAGAAGAATTATAAGGATAAACTAGGCAAATTAACATTTCTAGATAAGTTTTAGATACATAATAAAACTAAATGGTCACCTTACCAAGAGAAAAGAAAAAAATAAAAACCAATAACCTCACCATCTTTTTCTTGGTATGTTTTTAAAAAAAACCCAATGAGGATGGGTGGAATAGAAGCCAGAGAAGCAGGCTGTTATTGATCTCTCGCTGGCCCTGCTCCAAGTTTACTGCGTTTCATTTTTTCTCTTCCTAACGGTGGTGGTGGCAGCAGCAGCAACCACGGATTGCGCACCTGTTTTGTACTAGGTCCTGCGATGAGGTCGGTATGTGAACTACCTCATTTACTCTATCAGCTGTGACCACTAGGCTTGCAAATAAAAATATTTCCAAATGATGCTCCAAGTGCAATATAATCATTAGTTTTCATTAATTAGAAAATATCATTAGCAACTTGATTTTATATTAATATAAAATCAAGTTGCAACTTGATTTTATATTAATATAAAATCAAGTTGCTACAGCTAATTTCTCTGCAGAGATCCATCCCAACCCCAAGCCTGCACAGTGGACTGGGGCGGCGGGTAGGTGTGACGTCCCATTAAGAAGAAGCACAGAACAGGAATGGAAAATACCCAGCAACCAAGAGTAACAGGGAGCCCTAGCTCTGGGTGAAGACGGACCATGACAAGGAGATAATTCCAGGGGTTAGAAAGACAGAAGGGAAAAGATGACTAAGTACTAAAAATACTTTTCATTTGCACAAAAGGCCCTTCTTTCACTCTGCACCCAGGCTTTCCCATCTTTCCATGCTCAGCTCAAGTTTTACTTCCGTCCACATTTCTCTTTACTCTAGCTCTCAGCGACCCTTCTCTCCTCTGAGCCCTTGCAACTCTTATTCTGAAGCAAAAAATACAATATGTAGTTATGCACCACTTAACTGTTTTCTACTTTGTTTTCTAATATATTTGTCTTACCTCACCTGCTAAGACCCTAAGAGCTGACCCCTCTGAGCCGTGAGCCGTGAGTTGGGTTAAATTCCCACGTGCCCAAACCAGTGCTCAAAAGAAGGAAAGCTTCTAACAAAATCCATTCCAACAGTTCTCTGTGTTGGTTTCTCACTTTTAAAATAGTTCTTAGAATACTAATCTGTAGTCAGGACAGAACTTTTGGAAAGAGAAACGTTTGTATTCTAAAATGTACGAAAAAGGTTAAATTCTTCTGGTTATCATCACACTAAGCCACTGCTAAAATAAAATCTTTCATAGGAGCCAAAACTTTATGTTAAAAATTTTTATGCAAAATAAAGAATTGGGACAACAGACATGAGTATAGGTATTGGTTTCCTTTTTTATGGAGTGTAATTTAAGAAAATCATTGTTTCCTGGATTTTGTAATGTAATGTAAATGTTATACAGATTTACAAACACATACTGTAAAAACATTTAATGAAAAACTGGCAGGTTTTTAAAAAAAAACCTGGGGTTCTATATACATGTGCCCTTTCCCTAAACACTACATATTCAAAAACCTAATACTTGGAGACTCTAAAATAAATATGCCAATTAAAAAGGGCATTTTAAAAAAGTGCACAGTGTCTTCATCATCCCATTGTAAACCAAATTTAAATTGTGCGCACAGGTAAACACCAGAGCAGATGGTTTGTACAGCATTGCAAAATAAATGCAGAATAAAGGTATCATTTCCATATGACTGCCAGAGTAGAAACCTGCATCGCATTAAGGAGTACCTGCATCTGCAGTGACAGAAATGCATGCCATGGAAACCATGTACAATGCACATATTGTCCCAGCACATTTCACCTGCTTCAATTACTAGCTATAAAAATCCAACTACTCCTACCTATGCAAAGCTGGGAATGCCAATTATCTGTGAGGAGAAAGATTTATTGTTATCTATACTGGTTCTCTTTAATATCTGCATGCTCATTTACATATATGGGCCACTCCTACACTATGTAGATGCTTTTCAATGATCAAATTGTGATGAAAATGTTTGTTGTTTTTTTCTTCATTGTGGGGCCTAAAAAGCGTGTATTTACGATTGTTAACTGAATTTATTATGGTAATCATTTCACAATATATGTAAGTCACTACGTTGTACACCCTACATTTGAATGAAATTGAAAGAAAAACTAAAAGAAAGTGTATGTTCAATTCACTTACTTGTAAGATACAAGTCCAACAATTTGAGGGGGGAAGACAATGTTGATTAATTTAACAAATGATTAAATGTAAACACTTAAGTATTTTTAGTTTTAAGAGCATTCCTTAAAGTATAATTGTCTCTATACACTGAAACCAGCATCACTTCCTCTTCATTAAAATAATCTGAAGTTGTTTTATCCTTGTATCCCAAAAGATCAGTAAGGACTAAGTTAAATGCATCTTAAATTGTTCTGACAGCTGGAAATCTGGCTACATAATATGGTTTAACTACTGATGTATTATGTGGCTTTTTTGGATGGTACTTTTCTTTTATTCATTTCTCATTAATAAGGGAGAGCTTAATCACACTTATAATTTTAAAAGTTTAATCACTCCATTTAGATATGTATCTTTTTGGCAAGTTTAAAATGTTTAATCCTACTTCAGGTTAGACAGATACTATGGAATAAACTGCTATGCAAAGAGAAATAATGCTTTTCAAAATTTCACACAAAGATGCTACCTTTAAGATTTAAAAATCTATTTTAGAAGGATTAGAAGGCTGTAAGAAATTCAAATTCTCTTTATCTTTATAGTGAGTTATTTGATAAGTAACAAATTAATTCTACCATCTTATATTTCTCCTGTTATAATAAAAACAAACTTGTTTTTAAAGATCAGAAAAAACATACTACACATGTGAAGAAAAATATTTCTTTGCAGTAGTATTTTTATAAGAACTTATCTATACTGAATAAACCAGGCCAGACACAATTCAGACACCCCGGTTCCTACTAGATCTCAACAGTTAAGCCCCAGAAGCTCTGGTTTCATTAACGGAACAGTTTCAAAATTCAGATGACTAGTATCGCACTATTTTACAGATTGGAAGCAGGCTGATTCCCATGCTTGAATACTCCCGACACACAAACACAGCATTGTACAGAAATAAAGTGATACACAACCAGCACAAAAAAATTATTACTCCATCTAAGGTTTTAACAGAATTGGTGTGTTCTCCTTTCTGATTAACTACAAAGTGACAATGAACTTAAAGTTCTGTTCCAGCTAAGCCACTTCAAAATAGATAAAATGAAGGGAATAATTTAGTAAAACAAAAGTGCTTTGAATAACACACTGAAATAAAATGGGATACCTCCCCCCAAACAAAACAGAGTTAAAGGGAAAAAAGACATTAAGACAACAAGTTCAATTTTAGTGAGGAGATAAGCTATACACTATATTTTAAACTTACCACAAGAGCAAAGAACACCATAAAGAAAAATGATAAACTACTTGTGTAGCCAAGAAAGCCTGTAAAATAACAGTAAAATAAAAAGCAATTTATAAGGAAAATGATCCCACCGTACAGCTAAAGCTATACATTGTAGGCATGTTTTCTATTACAGTGCATGGTATCTGGGGCTTAGGGCTGAGAGTAACAACATTCCAACTATCTGTCACAGGCCATTTATGTAGCTCTGTACGGCAGAATTGGGACTGGCTCACCACTAATGGTATGCTGTAAGGAAAGGCTGCTCTTTAATGTTCCGCTGTAAAGGTTTTATTTTAGTGGGGCAGACAAAATACTACTGCAAACCAGTAGGTTAACTAGACAGGGCTGAAGGCTGAACAACCTAAAGCAAGTCCAAGTTCAAAATTATGAACCACCACCACCCTTCTGCTAAAAATGTGGGACTGTAAACTTTCAAAGCCCCTTAATATTACTTTCTTTCTTTTAAACAAATAATGTTCTCTTTGACAAAGACTTACCTATTTTAGGGAGAAGAGCAAGAGGGAACACAATGACAACACAAATGATTATCAGTAATGTTTTTCCATCAACATACCAAGACCTGTTCAGAAGAAAATAGTTCTGTTTAGGCACAGGACTCTGGTGCTTATGCTTCCACACACACAATTATGAAAAGCCCAATTCCTTTTGTTAAAATTTATTCTTGTAGGATTCTAATGTTCTTAAAAATGAATTTACATTTCAGAAAGGTATCAAAGCAATGAGATGCCATTTTTCAACTACCAAATTAGCAAAAAGTTAAAAGATAATAGTCAATGTTGCTGAAGGGTGATGAAGTAAACAAAACTGGCGAAAGTAAAAACTATGTACATGATCTTTCTGAAAAGCAAGTTGGCAATAGATTATGAGAGCCTACAAACATGTAACATGTATAAAAGACTATTGAAAATAAGGAAAAAACAAGAATAAAAAATTTCATTAAAAGATGTTTTTTGAAAACATTAAAAATTACAAATATCAAAAACAAAGATCTAAAACCATGATAATTTAAAAATAAATTATTTAACTATGGGACAATCATGAAAGACCATATCATAGGTATAATAATATAATGAATATTCAGTAAACATCATAAGTATACAGGTAGCATGATAGTTTTGAGGAAAAATATATATTCATTAAAAATTGAAAGAAATTGCCATAAACTGATAGCCATTATCTCTGGGTGGTAGAACAATGGGTAATTTTTCTTCTTTATAGCATTCTATATTTTTCAAATAGAAAAGGGCATGAATTACCATAAAAATATTAAAATTTTCATATAAAGGCACTAGAATGTTGAATTAGAAAAAGTAGGTTAAAAGTGTGGTGGTTTAAGATTTCCTTCTTTTTTATGGCCAAGTAGTATTCCATTGTGCAAATGTACCACAACTTTTTTATCCACTCATCTACTGATGGACACTTGGGCGGCTTCCAAATTTGGGCTATGATAAATAATGTTGCAATGAACATAGGAGTACATATATGCTTTCGAATGAGTGTTTCTGGTTTCTTTGGATATATTCCCGGAAGTGGAACCACCAGGTCATATGCTTTGTGGCAGTATGTATAGACCCAGAGGGCATTATGCTAAGTGAAATAAGCCAGTCAGAGAAAGACAAATACCATATGATCTCACTCATATGTGGAATCTAATGAACAAAATAAATTAACAAACACAATAGAAACAGACTCATAGATACAGAACAGACTGACAAGTGAGGTTGCAGGACTGGGTGGGAAAGATAAAGGGATTAAGCAAAAGAAAAAAACTCATAGACACAGTCAACAGTGTGGTGATCACCAGAGGGAAAGGGAGTTGGGGGAGGTAGAAGGGGTGAAAGGGGGATAAATAGTGATGGAAGGAGACGTGACTTGGGGTGGTGAAGACACAGTACAATGTACAGATGATGTATTATGGAATTGTACACCTGCAAACTATATAATTTTATTAACCAATGTTACCCCAATAAATTCAATAAAAAGGAAAACAAACAAAATGTGTAATGGTGTATTTAATTATTTCAAAAAACTGGATATACATTTTTAAAAAATCAGAAGGATATACTTAAAATACAAAAAGTAGGTATTTCTATGTGGTAGCAATGTGAACAATTTTATTTTCTCCTATGTAATATTAATTTTTCAATATAAAATGCCTCTGTAGACATTTTTAAAAGTTAACTTCCAAAGACTTAAGTATGTAAAGAACAAACACTTCATGAAAGAAGTACACCTGGTAAATACACAGCGGGAAAAATTCAATTTCTGATGTAACTAAAGAAAAAAATAGTGAGGCTTTTTTAATTAAACTAGTAAAATTATTTTGAACATAATATTTGAGGATGTAGCATAATTGGTTTTTTACATGTTGCTAGTGACCTTATCAATCTAGTACTATCTTCTGAAAAAACATTGATAATATGTAGGAAGAGCAATGAAAATGTGGTAATCTATTCTAAAAAGTAATCTAAAATGTAAATAATTCTATGTGCATGAAGCTGTGAACACAACCTTGTTACAATGTTAAGAAGCTGCATGAGATTCCATTGAGTATGGATTCCGTACTCAATGGAATCTTATGCAGCTTTAAAAAAAATACAATTTAGTAAAATGAAAAATACTCTTAACAGAAATATAAAATATATGGTTATTAATTACATTTTTAAAAAGCTCTTGGAGAAAATTCAAAAGAAATTAAAAGATAACAGTGATTAGATTGAGAGATAGTGTTATATATAATTTTTGTTTCTTTTCTCAATTTTTTATAAAAAAGCTGTCATTTTTACCTTGAAACATACACACATATACAGGTACGTGACAAGAACAAAGTAAAATTCATTCGTGCTGATATGGGAGTGGGAGCATCAAGGACAATAGGGATTACTTTTTCAAGTGACTTGGTAGATGTTCTCAGAATTCCTAGCTGGTGATAATTTGTCCTCTTTCTCTACCAAAGTGTCCCACTGCCATGTCATATTAAAAAAGTAGATAAATTCCCAGAAGTATACAACACATCAATATTGAATCCTAAAGAAATAAAACATATGAACAAAACAATAATAAGTAAGGTGGTTGAATCCGTAATCAAAAATCTCCCAAAGAGAATAGCCCAGGATCAGATGGCTCTACTAGTGAATTCTACCAAACATTTAAAGAATTAACCTCAATCCTTTTTAAATTCTTCCAAAAAATTGAAGAGGGGGGACAACTTCCAAACTCATTTTACAAAGCCTGCATACCCTAATACTAAGCCAGGTAAGGACACTACAAAAAGAGGAAATTACAGACCAATATTCCTGATGAATATAGAGGCAAAATTCTCAACCAAATATTAGCAAACCAGATTCAACAGTACATTAGAAGGATCATACAAGGTGATCAAGTGGGATTTATCCCTGGGATGAAAGGGATGTTCAACATATGCAAATCTGTAAGTGTGATGTAGCACATTAATAGAATGAAAGACAGAAATCTTATTATGATCATCTCAATAGATGCAGAAGAAGCATTTAAGAAAATACAATATCCTTTCACGATAAAACCCCTCAACAAACTGGGCATAGAAGGAACATTTCTCAACATAATAAAGACTGCATACAACAAACCTGCAGCTCACATCACGCTCAACAGTGAGAGGTCGAAAGCTTTTTTTCTAAGATCAGGAACAAGACACAAGGTGCCCACAGTCCTAGCTACAGCAATCAGGCAAGATAAAGAAATAAAAGGTGCCTGCATTGAAAAGAAAAAGTGAATAAATCTGTTTTTATTTGCAGATCCTATAATCTTATGTATAAAAGAACCTAAAGACTCAACCCCCAGACTATTAGAACTAATCAACAAATAAGTAAAGTTGTAGAATACAAAAATCAACACACAGAAATTGGTTGTGTTTCTATAAACAATGAAATATCACAAAAATAAAGAAAACAATCCCATTCTCAACAGCATTAAAAAATATACCTACCCCCCCCCATATACAGTCAACTAATATTTGACAAGAAAGCTAAGAATACTCAATGGGGAAAAAAAGTCTTTTCAATAAATGGTGTTGGGAAAATTGGGTAACCACACACAGAAGAATAAAATTGTACCCCTATCTTACCCCACTCAAAATGGATTAATGACTTAAATATAAGACCTGAAACCATAAAAGTTCTAGAAGAAAGCATGAAGATAAAGGTGTTTGATGTGGCTCTTGGCAATAATTTTTTGGATATGACACCAAAAGCATAAGCAACAAAAGACTTATCCAACTAAAAACCTTCTGTAAAGCAAAAGAATCACAAAATGAGGAGGCAACCTCATTGCCTCAGTGAGGCAATGCGATATTTGCAAACCACATACAGTGGTACCTCGGTGCTCATTGTTAATTCCTTCTGTTGAGTGGTGAGCAAGCAATGACTGATGAAGAATTTTCTCTTGCAGTGTGGAGTTGTGACTCATACAAGTTCTAGCAAGTGCAAAGAGTGGTGAGCAAACTTAGAGTACTGAAACACTTTTTCTAGTCAAAATGTGACAAGTACCAAGTTTGACAAGTTCTGAAGCCGATGAGTACTAAGGTATGAACATATCTGATAAAGGGTTAATATCCAAAATATATAAAGAACGCATACCACTCAGTAACAGAATTTTTAAAAATCTGATTAAAAATGGGCAGAGAAAATGAATAAACATTTTTCCAAAGAAGACATACAATGGCCAATGGGTATATGACAATATGCTCAACATCACAAATCATCAGGGAAATGCAAATCAAAACCACAATGAAATAACGCTTCATACCTGTTAGAAAGGGAATCATCAAAAAGACAAGAGATAGGTGTTGGCAAGAATGTGGAGAAAAGAAAGCCTTGTGCACTCTTGGTGGAAACGTGAATTGGTTCAGCCGCTATGGAAAATAATATGGAGAGTCCTCAAAAAACTGAAGAGTGAACTACCATGTGATTCTGCAATCCCACTTCCAGACACACATCCAAAGGCAATGAAAACAGGGTGTTAAAGATGTCTGCATCCAATGCTCATGGCAGTATTGTTCACAGTGGCCAAGACATGGAAACAACCTAAGTGTCTCTCAATAAATGTATCAAAGGAGAAGAAGTAGTATATACAATAAAATATTATTCAGCCAGGAGAAAGAAGACAATTCCATCATTTATGACAACATGGGTGGACCTTAAGGGCATTTTACTGAATGAGATAAGACAGAAAAAAACAAATACTGTATATCACTTATATGTGGAATCTAAAACATCCTAACTCATGGAAACAGAAAATAAAGGTGGTTACGAGAGCCTACGGGGTTAGGGGAACCAAGGACATGTCGGTCAAAGGGCACAAACTTGCAGTTAGAGGGGGAATAAGCTCTGAGGATCTAGTGCACAACACTGTGATTAAAGTTAGCAGTACTGCATTATATGCTTGAAATTTGCTAGGAGACTCTGAAATGGTCTCACCACAAAAAAAGAATGACAATCATGTGACAGATTAGAGGTATTAGATGGCACCACTGTGGCAATCATATTGCAATATGGAAGTATGCAATATAACATTATATACTTT